ACAAATTCGACAACTTGTGTGCAGGGTCCTTAGTTATCTGATTGTATAGTTTGGAGCAGGCATGCCTTCGACGATCGCTTAAGAGTGTCAAGTTAGCTTTGTCCAAACGCTCACTGTAAGACAAACCGGGAAAGATTATGGATGTAACTCTTCTCTGGACTCGTTCTATGTTATCACTGAGATACTTGGGCAGAGCAAAGTGAAATACCTCACAAGCGTATTCCAGAACCGGTCTGACACAGCAACAATAAAAGTTAAGAATTTCTTTGGCTGGTATTTTAGCTCGTTTTAATTGGACTATGAAGAAGATTCTCTTGTTGGCTTTCTTTATTATGTTTAGGACATGCGTAGATCATCTTAAATCATCACTAACCGTAACACCTAGAATTTTAGCTTGGCGAACCAGGTTTGGACACCCCGCAAGAAGATGGATATTATCAAAGGATACTCTATTTCTGTGGAATTGAAACAAAAGCTCTTTGCATTCTTGGACATTTAATTGGAATTTATTCTGCGAGTTCCACATTTCAAGTTCGTTAGCTCCAGATTGGATTTGGCTGGTTCCGTTTCTTGGGATAGTTTCCGAGACTGTTGTATCATCGATGTATTTCCAGTGGGTGATGTCCATAAGCTTCAAATCGTTTATCATGAGAATAAACAACCAAGGTCCCAACTTTGTGCCCTGTGGGACGCCACTAGGGACGTTACCCCACTCAGAAACACAGTCCCTTGCAAGTTTCACGCGTTGTTTCCGACCACACAAAAAGTTAATAAGCCAATTTGTGATATAGATTGGGATGGGCAGTTGGCGAATTTTATTGATCAAGATTGAGTGATCAATAAGATCAAAAGCCTTCCTGTAATTGACCAGAAGGACTCGCACGGAATTTCCAGTACCATCGGTTGCTTTAGCCCAGTTGTGCAACATACTAATAAGGGCAATAGTTGAAGATGACCTTGGTATTCCTCCGAACTGGTGAGAGTCGATGCATTTCAGGATGGCAGGGGCGACAAACGTTTCAATGACAAATTCTTCAGCCAGTTTTGAGAGACAACAAGTAAGTGATATGGGTCTTAAGTGTTTATTAATGTCGCATACAACCTTTTCCTTTGGAATTGGGATAATGTTCGCCAACTTCCATAAGCTTGGTAATAATTGATGGCGGAGTGAACAATTGATCAAGCTAGAGATTGGGCATGCCAAAATGTCGGCATATTCCTTGTAGACAAAATTCGGAACTTCATCAGGACCTGGTGCTTTAGAGGTACTTAGTAACTTAAGTTTATTATATGTTTCCCACGGTGTAGTGATGTCAAGAGGTTGATCAGACATACTATTGATTTGGTCGTCATTAGGGTTGAAAGGATCAAATTCCTGCATGGGTTCTAGAAAGGCGTTGTTAATAGCATTAGCCAAATCGACCAAGGGCAGGTGTTCTAAGTTTTCTGATTGGATACAATCCTGTAGGCTTCAATGTGAAACCATTCCACTAATGCGTTTTACTTCGCGCCACCAGTGTTTCGGGTTAGATTGTTTTAAATTATCTACTTTTGTGTTATAATAATTAGCCTTGCAACTTTTCCTTTTCCTATTAACGCTATTTCGATAAAATTTGAAGAGGGTGTCATTCCCGAAGAAAAAGGCACGCTGTCGAAGTTGTATGAGACGACGCAGATCTTCGTTGATCCACGGGTGGTCGTTAGAATGAACCAAAAGACGTTTTTCAGGCAATATATAGAATAATCCAAAGGATAGCATATCGGTGAACAGTTGGTTTTTCACCTCAACGGATTTGGGTGAGTCGAGGAAAGACCAGTCAATTTCGCTTAAATACCGCGCAATACATAGCTTTCCGTGAAGGTCTCATATCACGTTTATAGACGAATTTCTTCTGGTTAGACTTAGGGTCTCGGAGTTTAGGAGAGACAGCAATTACAGAATGATCAGAAAGGCCGAAGGGCGGAAATGCGATGATGGAGTCCGATAGATAGAAAGGATCTAGGTTTGTGAGCACTAGGTCAAGTGTATTGCCCCCTCTTGTTGGTATCTTCACAAGTTGTTTTAAACCAAAATTTATGCGTAACTGTTTTATATCTAAGCGATTAAAGTCACCAGCCAAAATTAAACCACAACCAGGATAGAGACTCTCAACCCGGGTCAGTGATGCAATTAGGTACTCCAAGATTTCAATATCGTCTGAAGACGGGGGGTGGTAGATAGTAGCAGTAACTATGCACGAAACAACTCTGGGTAACCTGGCCGGCCGTACATAAACCCACATAACTTCCAAATTCGGAAGGGTTAAGGTATGCTTATCCTATACAGCGTACGTCCGAATACGCACAAAATTTTTGAGCGTGCCTCGCCGTATGCCAGCGTATAAGCCACCGTATGCGACCGTACTTTAAACGTATACAACCTATGCTCAACGTACCGCTAGCGTATGTCAGTGTATACCGGCCATAGATATCTTACATACACTAGATAGCGCATCTCTTTTAGTAAAATTGAAGCCAAAAATATTGCAGCGGTTACCCCCATTTGAATAGATGGCGGCCATGTTGGTCGTTCCCACTTGCTAATAAACGCTTAAACACAACAATAACTTTCATAATTTGAATAGTTTAAAAACGTATTTGCAATAGGGTTAACTTAATGTTTAAGTTCCCTGTTTAATTAAGAAATAGAAAACATACGAAGCTTCTCATTTCATGGGAACGACCTGAGACTGCAATCACGGCTTCAATTTTTGAATTGCACAATAATTAGATGCACTATCTAGTGTATATAAGATATCTATGATACCGGCGCATGAATGATATTTTTCATACGCTGGCATACGCTAGTACGATACGCAATTGTGTGACAGGGCCTTTAACTGCTTTTGAAACAGGAATTGTGAAGGTGGAAATAGAGTCGCAAAATACGACGTCGTTGTCATGGTAATGTAGCTCAATATTTTGATAGGCTTATAAGAAGAAATTTGATGGACTTATATTTTGACAGATTTATATTTTGATAGTCTTATTTAAAGAGGCTATCAAGTCCGTTCTGCTCATGCCCGTGTTTTGTTTACATTTTTTGTTTCAAACGATAGATAATTTAATTAAAATTCCGATCTTTAGGCCCCCAAGTTACCTCAATGCGCATTCAGAATATATCACGAAGGAAAAATTGAACTACTAAAGCAAAAATTTAGCCCCAAAACAACAAATTTTAAATCGAAAACGCTAAGAAGCACTTCTTACAAAAATATGGACAAAATTTGATTGAAATTTGTACATATTTGGAATTGAAATTTAAAATAGAAATATAAAATTGAAAATGTTAAGAAACACATCTTTATACAAAGGTATAGACAAAATGTGTTCAAATTGCAGTCAAATGTTGTCCAGACATCTGTAAGAAGTGCTTCTTAGCATTTTCCATTTAAAATTTGTTGTTTTGACGCTAAATTTTTGCATCCACATCGGGCAAGCTGAAAAGTTTGGTTGGCCACGGTGGGATTCGATCCCGACCTTGTGGGATACTCACAAACATCATATTCACCTGAGTAGCTACATAACACCAACACACACAAATGTCATATCTTAGATAATATCATGATTGCAGGTATTCCCTTTGTTCTCGCAGGGCAATTAATAACTAATACACCTCATTATATTCATTTTTTCTAATCCTACCCGCTTTTACGTCATGTCAGGTAGAATTAGTTCTAATCCTACCCGAAACAACGTCAAAGCGGGTACGATTAGAAAAAATGAATATAGATGAAGATATCTGAAATCGCCAAAACTAAACAAAGACAGGGAAAACAATTATACCATTTAATTTATACCATTATTTATTTTTAATTAGTTTTTAATGGCCCTGCCAGAACAACGGGAATACCCGCAATCATGATATTATAAGGTAATAGCATGAAAAGAAGCGAATTAGCTATTAAAACGTCCCGCCCGATGAGGGTCGTTTAGTATAATTCCCTTGGGCGCCCTGAATTAGGGTCATTTACTAAATGACCCTCATCGAGCGGCGCCCAAGGGAATTATACTAAACGACCCTCATCGGGCGGGACGTTTTAATAGTTAATTCGCTTCTTTTTATGCTATTACTTATAAATACACTGATATCGAAGGAACTAGACTCAGCTCCGAAATGTCATCAATTCGAACCGACTTGACCGCGTAGCTCAGTTGGCAGAGCATTGGACTAGTTTCCCAAAAGTCGCGGGTTTGATTCCCACCGTGGCCATGGAAACTTTTCAGCTTGCCCGGTGTTGATGCACACTCAGAATAACATCACAAAAATCATATTCACCTGAGTAGCTACATAACACCAACACACAGAAATATCATATCTTAGAATACACTGATATCGAAGGAACTAGATTTAGAATCTTTAGAGGTATGACACATTCGTTATTAATCGGGGTTTTATAGCATTAGAGTAAACAGGACCAGTGGATTTTGATGCAATTCGACTGGGTTTGCATTCATTTAGTTAAACCAGGCTGCTGGCGTAAACAGCTGTGATGTCATATCTGATTGCCTGCAACGAATAAACCTAAGCGAGTATCATACAGCCACATTATATAAAGCAAAAGCACTTTAAATTATGTTACTCAGAGGTATAATAAGGGAAGTTATAAACTTAGGTCAAGTGAGGCGTGGTTGCGTTAAATTAGGTGACATCAGAGTAGGACAGGTTAGGTGAGATGTGGTCTGTTTAGCTCATTTGAAGTGAGGTTAGACGAGGTAGGGTCAGGCGCCGTATCTTTGTTAAGCTGTACTATTAAGCTGCAAATGTTATGTACAATTAGTTAGGTTGTGACGTAGGTTGACAACTGACAAAATAACAAGTCTTCGATATATGCTTTCACCTCTTGAGCTGCAGAGTGAATACTGGTTACCTAGGTAAACCCACACCAGTTTTGTTCGAAGCTGATGAGAACGGTCAGTGGCCGTCTGGCCTCCACGTTTCGGACACATTATTGACAGCAATGGCAGGGAAATCTAGCCGAGTGGAAGTAGAAGTGAAGAATACGACCAAGCATGACATAGTATTACGGAACAGAACGGTGCCAGGGCGCCTACAACTTATTCAATCAGTCACTCAAGTCGAGGTGAAATTAAAGACGGAAAACGATGAAAAGTCGCCTTCCAAATGAAATGAAGAAGCCAAAATCCCTAACAGCGATGATGACCACCAAACAGCGAAGTGGGCAAAACATTTGGACGATGTGGATTTGGGAGATTTGAACAGTGAGGAAAGAAAAGCTGGGACGCAGCTGCTTATCGAAAAGGCTGATGTGTTTGCCATAGATGATGATATCGGGTGCATCACAGAGCTTCAAATGGATATCAAACTCAGCGATAGCGCACCTGTTCAGAAGAACTATGTCGCTCTGCCCCGACCACTGTATCCAGAGGTGAAAGCATATATCGAAGACTTGTTATTTTGTCAGTTGTCAACCTACGTCACAATCTAACTAATTGTACATAACATTTACAGCTTAATAGTACAGCTTAACATATTCAGGTGAAATGAAGTTATTTCCATTGACGTCAGGTAAGATCGGGTAAGGTTTAGCCTGCGTCAAAGTAAGACATGGTTAAGAAAGTGTGCTAAGTTCAGATCTAGCTGGTCAGGTGAGCTCGTGTGAAGTAAATGGAGACAATATAGCGACCTTGCATGTAGGACGGCAACGCGACGGGGACGGCAAACAAACTCGTTGAACCAAAACGATTGCAGAAACAAACCTGTTGTCTGCTATCCATCGCAAGAAAAGTAATACAGTTTCACTTTCAGGATTGAGGGGGTTAATGATTGAGAAACGTTCTAGGACCCAGTTGAAAGTAGCAGATAAATAATAATAATAATAATAATAATAATAATAATGATTTAATAGCATTTCCACATAGTGGCTCTTCTATGCTACAAGTGAGTTTGATTATAAGATAACAAAGTATACAATATATACAACGGAGTACATAATACGGCACAACAAGTATTACAATACGTAGTATGTTGTACGTTACAATATTTAACAATTGACATTATTAGTATTTAACAATTGACATACACAGTAAAATACAGTATAGTTATATACACAATGTCAACAGAGTTTACGACGTGTCACTAAAAAAGATGTCTCATGCATGATATTAACAATAGCCGTCGTCGTTGTAGTCGATGTTCTCAATGAGAGTAGTTCTTTATAATTTTAAAATTGTAAAATTTAAGGCTGTTTCTTGTCGTCCTTGTCATGTCTCCGTACTGGATTGAGCCTTTCAGCTAATATCAGGCAGGGTGAGATCTAGTCATTTAGGGTAAGATCAGGACAGGTGCAAGGTGATATTGGGTCAGAAGTAATCCATTGCGGTGAAATGAGGTCAGGTGAGGGAGTGGCAAGGTGTGGTGAGTTCTGGGCAGCACTGTGAATAGAAAGAAGGCCAGACAAGTTGAGGTCAGGCTACAGCGGTTAGAAGAGTTTGGGTCAGATGACGTCCGCTAGTGAGGGTTAAATATGAGATCTACACGGCTAAAAACGATCAGGTTGTTGCAATATAGATGAAAACAGGATTGAACAATGTTTTGCTTCCCACAATATTCACAGTTGTTAACAATATTGAATAATATTGTTGTACCCGATTCAGGCTCAGCAATATTGTTCAATATTGTGTGAACAACGTGGGCAGCGCAACATTGTTCAATCCTGTTAAACAGTGCAGGGCTCAGCGTTTTTACGCGTGTAGTTAAGTCGAGCGTCTGATGTCACCAAGTGAGGTGATATGAGATAAATATTTAATACTCTAGTCTGTTAGGTGAGTTTAGGTAGTGATGAGGTATAAGGTCAGGTCAAGTGAGATTGCATACAATCTAAATATAAAGGCACCTACGATAATGTCTTCGCTGAGAAATATCCCTCCATCCCAGAGTTTTAAGGGCTTCGGTAGCAGACGAAAAAGGTCCACAATTTCGCGCCAAAATTTGACCAAAATGGCAACCTCGTTCCCAGGGCTTTTCCCTTTTTGTCAATCTTTGCTTTCCTTTTTGTCAGGGCTTTTCTCTTTTTGTCGTCCTTCTAACAAGAAACGTCTCTTCAAAGAATTAAATCTAATTCACAATTTCGTCATATTTCAAAAACTGTACGGAGCCACCTTAAGTCGGTCTCTCGACTTACAAACCAAGTCATTTTTATGTCAATGAAATCACCGTTTTAGCTTCCCCGAACTTTTCTCACCTTGTATTTTTTAGCTTGCATTCTTTTGCATAAGAATCACATTTTTATTTCACACGTATTTAAACTAAGGATAACATTAGAAAAAAAAAATATATAAATATATATAGTTACAAAAGCAAAGCCCACATATTCAAACTACTATATTAAACAAACGTGTACAGTGATCAAAGTAGCGGAATGCTTTCGAGTTGATCACTGTATATATGTATCATATTATTATATAAAAGTATATGACGGCGACACAACAGATTGTAGGTATTTATATTTGCGAATAAATAAGGAATTGACTATACCTATTCTTAAAAACAGAAACTGAATTTGACTTTTTTATATGGTAAGGAATTGTTTCCCAGATTTTTGATGAGATAAATCTAAAAGTAAAGATTCCATAATTTGTTCGAGCATTCGACCTAATAAAATTTTGTTTTTCAGCAAATCTAGTAGAATAAGAGTGCCGAGTAGATGCAGTAGAAATAATATTGGCAAATATCCTAGGGATATTTTTATCTTCATTTATAATTTTGTATGTAAATGTGGCTATTTTCAATTTAAAAACATTGTCTAGCTTTAGTATGGAAAGTAAATTCATGTATAATGTTGCACTTTCTTTTTTAGATGAAAAAAACATACTCTTTATACATTTATTTTGACATGTTCGTACTTTATTAAACTTTGTTGCATAAGTGTTACCCCAACTCATCAGTCCATAATTAATGTATGGGTAAATTAGAGTGTAATATAGATGTTTAAGCATTTTCAAATCTATGTGATATCTGAGTTTATTCATTATTCCAGTGTTTTTAGCAATTTTACTATTTACGTGTTTGATCTGATACTCCCAATTTAAATTATTATCAATATATATACCAAGATATTTAATAAAGTCTCTTTTAACAATGTTTTTAATCCGTATATTTCTAACTTTCTTTTTTGAGTTAGTGATAACCATAAAATTTGTCTTTTCCAAATTAATTGAAAGCTTATTTGTAGCACAGTAACGAAATATTTTTTCAATTTCTATATTCATAACGTTTTCGACATCTTCAATACTTGTGTTTGAATAAAATACATTTGTGTCGTCTGCGAATATTCGGAATGAAAGTTTGCTACTGCAATTGGGCATGTCATTTATATAAATTAAGAATAATAATGGTCCGAGAGTTGAACTTTGAGGAACTCCACAAGTCATTGTAAGCATTTCTGAATCACAATTACCAATCCGTACATACTGTTTCCTATTCATTAAATAACTCTTAAACCAATCCAACTGGGTCCCACGTACTCCATATTTGTCAAGTTTAGATAAGAGAATTAGATGATTGACAGTATCAAAGGCTTTCGAAAAATCCAAGAATAGTCCACACATTATTTCTTTTTTATCAATTGTAGTTTTTAAGGTATCTGTAATTTCAAGTATCGCTTGTTCTGTCGAGTAACCTTTTCTGAATCCAAATTGATATTCAAAGAGTATACCATTTTTAACAAGAAATAATTCTAATTGATTATAAATAATTCTTTCCAGTATTTTTGAAAAAGCTGACAAGACTGATATTGGTCGATAGTTACTCGGATTTGTAATAGTACCAGATTTGTATATGGGCGTAACTCGTGAGATCTTTAGAATGTCTGGAACAATACCCGTACTAATCGACTCATTATATATACTTGTAAACACAGGTGAGATTATTGGAGCTATCTTTTTTATCATTGAGTTAGGAATATCAAAAGATGCTTTGGTACTGTCAAGTGTTAAAAACATACTTAGTACTTGAGTTGGTGTGGTAGGTGACATGACAAAACTAGATACAGGAGAATTGCTAATGTAACTTGTTGGATTTTCATTAGTATTGGTTATTGAGTTAGCTAGGTTTGGACCTACATTAATAAAATGTTGATTGAACTAATTTGCTATATCATATTCCGAGGAGAACTCCGAGCCATTATTAATTAGTTGTGATGGGTCATGTTGGCCTTTCCGTTTACGGCGTACGAGCGTACCTATAAGCTTCCAGGTGTTTTTCAAACTATTTCTGTGTTTCTCAAATTGGGCATAATAATATTTTTTTTAAGTATATTCTTTAACTTATTTAGTTTATTGGAATGCGATTTATACATTTTAATTTTTGCTTCATTATTACTATAGAAATGAGTGCGATACATTTTTTGTTTCGTTTTAATCGATTTTAAAATTCCAGAGGTGATCCATGGTTTATTAAGTTGTCTCAATTTACTTTGTGATGCCTCTTTTATTGGAGCATGTTTGTTTGTTACTTCATTTATAACGTTAATTACATCCTGTGTGGTTTTATTTAAATTAGTATTTAAATTACAACATTTATCATTCCAATCGATTTGTCTCATATCATTTAAATAGAACTCTGTATTAAAGTGCTCAAAATTTCTATAAAACTTTTTTTCTTTATTTCGTTTAATTGGAGTATTTATAATACAAAATACGGGTAGATGATCGGAGATATCATATAATGCTATACCAGATGTTATTTGAGAAGTAAGTGTATTAGTATAAATATGATCAATTAGCGTTTTTGTGTGATTTGTTATTCTTGTGGGTTTAGTAATAAGGGGAGTGGTATTGTTAGTATGCAACATATCTAAATATTTTTCAGTAGGTTGATGGTTCAAGTATTGGAGGAAATCAATATTTATATCTCCCAATATATAAAATTGATATTTTTGTTGATTTAATTGCGTAAGCAGTTCATTCAATTGCTCTGTAAAAATTTCAATACTTGCTTTTGGATGTCTGTATATGCACCCTATAACGATGTTTTTTTTCTGATAACCAGGCTCAATTTCTACCCAGCATGATTCGACAAGATCTATAGAAAACTTGATGTCCGGTCTTTCAATTACTTTTAAACTATTGCAAACATAAATACCAGCTCCACCTGCCGCAGTCATCGAGTCAACATGATAGAATTCATAGCCTGATATATCAATATTTGTAACAGTATTATTATTTAATTTAGTTTCAGTAATTGCTACAATATCTGGTTTTTCTGAAAGCGAATACATCATGTCATTTAACAAATTTAAATTCTTTGGAAGACTTCTTATATTACAATGGAATAAAGAAAGCGATTTAGGACCTTTTATCTTAAGGATTCTATCAACTTTTTCACTCTGATAATAGTCAGAGCAAATATTATCTAGCATATGGTCCGGATCGCTTTCGTCTTTTATCTGGGTTTGGTAACAATTTATATAAGTCAATATTAGAATCCACACATCTATAATCAATATTGAATAAAGAGTTAAATTCCTTATTATTTAAATTATAAAAAGGTAATTCAACTAATTCAGTATATATATGTAAATTACCTACAGACACACTAGTTTTTTCCATAGAAGACTTAGAAGGCATAATTGGAATTTATTTGCATGCGAACAGCCGCAAGCATGATATGCAAGAGAGCACACATTGTTATTAATTAGAAAGATTCATTCAAGAAAGCATCGAAGTCCCTAGCATGTATAAAACTAAAAACCCGAGAAGCATCATCTTCCCGTAACATAATTTTTCCATTTATGGTCCAAATATGCTTCCATCTCTCTGATCGCTTGAACTCGTTTACACGTCCAAACAGTTTTCGCCTACGTGCAGTTAATGATTCGTTTACATAAATATTATTAAATTCACGATTGTTATTTTCGTACTCACGCTTAACCAGTGGCAAATCGTTTGACTTCTTGCCAACCAATTTACTTCGTTTTTTATAGAACAAATCTTTAATATTCCGATGCACAAACTTAACAATAAGCTTGTCCTTTACCTTACGAGTTGGGGGAAGGCGGTGCGCGGTGGAAACTTGATGATCTGCGATCTCAATTCCCATGAGCTGGCCAATTTCCTTTACAATTGCCTTCGGCTTATCGTCTGACAATCGCGACGAATATACTGCTGTATGTCATCTTGCTCATCAACCAAATCATCTATAGACTTTATTTTATCTTCCAAAACTTTCAGACAACTTGATACTTCCATGACATCACGCTTTGTTATTTGAAGAGAATTAGTAAAGTTGTCGTACTCTTTCGACAGAAAGGTTTGCGAGGCTTCGATTTCAATACACTTCGCTGTTAGAGCGGAAATTTCATCCTTTATTTTGTCAATCTCAGCTTTAAATTCCTTTTGAATACTTGGTAGAAATTCATCAGCCCAAAGTTCTCTTAATGCGTCTGCTGTTAAAAAACTAGATTTAGCAGCTTTAGGAGGCATTATTTACGGAGCATTAAATTGTAGCCTACGTCCGTCTTAGATGAAGATGTGCTCATCAATACTGTGATACATCATATACTTGAAAAAGTATGCACTGAATGAAAATGAAGTAGTGCAAAGTGATTATCTTAATTCGTAATATTTATTGAATGATAACGATATTCTTGCTGTGCAAATATTTCAGAACTTCGACAACATCTTTGGCAGCTGTTGGCATGAAGTTTGTGAACGAGGCAAAGTCAAACTCGTCTACGAAATGGACAAAATCTTCTAGAGTGTAAAGACTTTTTTCAACTCCAAACGGGCGAAAATCGAAGCAAGAATACTCCATCATTATTGAAAATTCAGGGAACCGGATTATGTTCCTGTGGCCTTTTGTACTGTTCAACAGTGAGGCTTCTTTCATGAAACAGGATTTCGAGTCAATGGACTCGACATTACTGTTTTTGGCAACCACTTTTCTGGTCTTTCCTTTGTATTTTGCTAGGTATACGGACCCGAACGTACCGCAACCCAACTTTTTTTCTTCGAAAAGTTTCCACTCAAACTTTGGCAACTCTGGATCCTTTTTGTTGCATGCCATATATGGCATGCAACTTTCATATAGCTCTAAATTTCGTGTCGTGGTCGTGAGCGGCGGTGAGCGGTGGTGAGCATAGATATAGGAGACCTAGATTGCTGACTTGGCTGAAGAGGCGCGCCAAATTTGAAAATCCAAGATGGCGGCTCAACCGGTCAAAAATCATAGAGCGAGATAGGGAAAAACAATGTTTTTTGCATTTTACGTCGTCCTACTGTTTCCGATCCCGTTGAACCACCTTTTTTTTGGAAGAGCTAACTGGTGTGAAAGTTTTGGATGTATATTTGTTATAATTAGTACGATTTACAGTTTAAAATTCAAAGGGGCAAGAATGGGCAAAGACGAAAATGGCGCGAAACTGCCGGCCTGGTTTCTTTTCCTGTGTATTCCTTGAGTCTTTTACCAGTTTTTCTACAGTAATGTAACGTATATCTGACTATTCCAAAAGTTACTATTATTTATTTTGTTCTTTCATTGTTATTTCGACCAAAATACAGTATTTTTATCTGAAAATTCTAGGGCATTCTATTCTAAAAAATCTGTTTTTCTATCGAAAATAATGCCTTGAATCTCGGCCTGTTTTGTGTGAGTATAACTGCAAGGCCAGACGTGGGGATTTAAAAGATGGTATTCACTTGTCCTTCCATAAGTAAGTGTATGAAACACACATATCGTATATTTGTACACTATAATATACTTCATATAAACAATATTATAAGACTATTAATTAAAATAAGACAATAATAGCATAAAAACAATTTGTTTTGTAAATACAATAATGACAACAAATGTAGTTTTGAGCTTGTTGGCTACAATATAAAACTGTTTGCAGTTTTAGTAAAAGAACATTAGACCAAAAAGAACTTTTTGTTTTGATGTCTGTGTTAGGAGTCTATATATATATATATATATATATGCATGTTGACAATAACTTTTATAGAGGTCCTTGTCCTGTTGAAGGTCAAAAAAATTTGAGTTTTGTTTACATCAGTGAACCAAAAATACATATTTCCCTTTACACTATTTAGATTTCCTATAACCAATCCCAGCCGGCTAAAAAGTTGGATAACAGCAATGAAATGGGCAGACTGGATGCCAACCAAATATTCAGTATTCTGCGAGAAACAACTTACTCCCAACAACTATATTAACCCATTAAGTCACATTGTGCCCTGATGTGCCCTACTTTATTATTTTACTTTGTCTAACAGCATTACGGCAGATGATTTTACTTGTCAAGGGGAGAGTGTTGGTACTTAATGGGTTAACTGGCCATGGGTCCGGTTAACCCATTGAGTTGCACCCTACTTTATTATTTTACTCTAACACCAGATAATTTTACTTGTCAAGGGGAGAGTGCTTACTGCTGGGTTAGTAAGGGAAAGCAATTAATAAAAGGCCAATCCAAGAAATAGCTGAAAGAATATGCTGTCCCATCTATTTTTGATTGATATCAATGATAAATCAATCAGGTTTCTTGGAGAAAACTAGATATACTGTGAAGGTTTTTGATGCATACTAGACAAATTAGTCAGTTTCTTCAAAATAGTTTCCATTGAAAACTTTTGCTGTCACTAGTTCTCTTTAAAATCCTGATTGATTCATCACTTTTCACTGTCCAGGCGGAGGCCATATAGATTTGCGATTCCTTGACATCTGCAGCAGCAAGGATGTCATCAAAGTCATACTATTACACTAAACACTTGTAAACAGAGCATCTGAGTTTTCGCACCAGCAGACCAGGTAAATCAAGCAAAATAGGTTTTAAACTTCAAAATACTTCACAATATTATTCCGTGTTATATATCCCAACCGAGATCCTCGAGAAAAAAAGAACCAAAACCTTTAATTTCTGCAATAAAATGTCTCGAACTGCTCAACCGACCATGTGATGATTTTCAGAAAACATTTAGCGATCGATTATTTCGTCTTTATTCAACTTAAATTGTACAAATATTCATCCAAAACCTTCACACCAGTTAGTTCTTCCCCAAAAAAGGTGGTTGAACGGGATCGGAAACAGTAGGCAGGCGTAAAATGCGAAAAACATGGTTTTTCCCTATCTCGCTCTATGATTTTTGACCGGTTGAGCCGCCATTTTGAATGCTCATGTTGGCGCGTGGCGTGCGTTATAGAATACATTACAGTCAGCAATCTAGTTCTCCTATATCTATGGTGGTGAGCGTACCAGTCACGTGGCAGGAATTGTATCGTGTTACGTAGAAATTGCCCTACATTATCATGGGTACCGGTTTTAATATGGAGTGGTTGCACATCACCTATAGCTATAGTAGTATTTTCGGTTTATTACTTCTCAGGGTCGTAGCAACCGGGGGAGGGGGTGCAGCCTGCAGCCCTCCCAATAATTTGCTAATAATCATTCTTTTTTCAAAATCATGCACACCTTTATCATTTAAATAATATATCTTTAGACTACTGACAATTAATTAATTTTAAGCGGCTACATTATCCATGGTAAACTGCAAAGAATCATATTACCCATACTTTCCTGCATCTTCTCCAATATATAGTTAATTAATTAAATACGCCTTCGCTCATTTAGTACCACTAGATTGCTTCGCCCATAGACCTTATTCATAAATCGTGATGAGGCCTCGTATCCTAGGAAACGGGCAAAAACGCGGGAAAATTGACAAAATGTTTTTTTTGCTGTCGGCTATGGCAGCTTTTTTTCGTGAATTTTACGGCTTTTTTCGAAAATAATATCTATAAAACTGAGCTTGAAAGTTGAAAAAAATACTTCTGAGAAAATATAACACGATATTTAAAGCAAAAGATGCTGGAGTCAATCGAAAAAGGAAACCTTTGACTTTGTATTATTGCCAAGTTTGTATGGGCAAAACAAACAACCAACAAGGCTACAAAACGTCTATACAACACCAAAATCGTAAGAAATATGGAACTATTGTTGAAGAAATAGGATTACAACTCACTCGGGTAATGTAGCCTTCATTTTTTTAACTTGTAAGCTGCTTGCAGAATGTTATCGAGCCACAGCCATAGTTCATATTTTTCCGTAAGAATCAATAACATTTGACGTTCTCTTGTGATTTTTGACCTGTTGTTTTCTTTCATATTAATGTCAAATTCGAAAAATTATTCTTTCATTCCATAGTTGTCTTGATTCTTCAGGGAATAACCTTTATATTGACGTTAAAATCTCAGTAAAATACTGTTTTTCGCTTCTGGATAAACACCATCGCTACGTTGTCATTTTTTCCACACAAAAACGGGAGAAAAACCGGTCGCTTTTATAATATACTCGTTTACGCTTTCGTTGTGGGCACAAAGTCTCGTTATAAATCGCAAAAAGCAACAAGAAACAAGCCGTTGAAGTCGACACAATAGCATCTGGATTTGGCGTGTCAAGCAGTTTTCACTTGTTTTCCCGCGTTTTGTTCCCGTATCCTAGGATACGAGGCCTCGTCACGGTTTATTAATAAGGTCTATTTAGTACTACTAAATTGTAAGCAAATTGTAAATTTCGACATACTAAAACGCTGTTTTTTGACCATCAGAATTCTGTCAAAACTTCCCGGCCCCAAAGTCCAGGAAATGGCATTTCAGAGACTCTAAATTTAAAAATTTCCTCGGGCCTTCGGCCCTCGTTTTCAGCCCCCCGATCAAAAAGAGCTTCCTACGGCACTGCATGCTTTTGTAATATGTCATAAAATATGCGTAAAATATGAGTATTTTTCTTTGTAAATGGCGTCTTCAATGGTAAGAATATTTTGGAATTTGAATCATAGACAATTATTTGAGGATTATAATTTGTTTTTTTCTGATATGGATGGAAAATAACATAGTTTGATTTACTAATATTTAGTTACCCTGAGAGCAGAACCTGATTTCCCCTCGTGTAGAAAATAATGCTCTGCCGTATTTGTGTTTTTGTTCGTCCAAAATTCTGGACGAAGTAAACCGGACAAACCGGTAATAAACCAGTTCTAACAGGTTTAAATGCGCGCGCCTTCGTTTTGCATATAAATCGATGACTACAATTTGAGCCCGCTAGTATTTAACAAAATTTAAAACTTTATACTTTATAACCGAAATTTGGCTTACAATAACTTAAATATACTGAAAAGTAACATAGGATAAAATGAAGTAGCAAGTTAGCAATTGTAAAAATATAGTAATATTTTGATTCCACAACTGACAAGTGACCGGCTATCGATTTGAAAATGTTTTTGTATTGTTTATATTGTCGTAATTGTACAGCACGTGCAGTTGCACGCGCCTGCCCCATGTAGCGATAACTGCATGTGACTGGTTCTCTAAATTAAGCAATCATATCTAAAAATATAAGTGATATTTGACATCTTTTGACATAATATTGGAAACAGAGCATGCGTGACAGAAATTAAACACAAATACGGCAGAGCCTTATTTTCTACGCGAGGGGAAATCAGGCTCTGCTCTCAGGGTAATATTTAGTGTTAATTTGTTAGCCTCCAGCCATATAAATAAACCCTCCGTTATTCGCATACCTAATTTAAAGAATTTTTTATCACTGCACATTTGTGCGCAAAGTTTAGCTGAGCAGAAGCACGCCCTGAAAATTTCTGAACACACTTTATAATGTGTAACTTATGCTAAAAACAGGCTACAATAATTGATATTCAAAAATGCCAACTGCACAACACGCAGGGTTGCCCAGGGACATTTGGGTACCCAGAGTCAAATTTAACTTGGTGCCCCACTTGATTCCATCTTCTAACACTATCATCAGGGAGTCCGGGGCATTCTCCCCAGGAAAATTTTACAATCTAAGGTCCCAGAAATGGCCAAATCCTGCATTCTGGAAGTCTTTTGACAGTTATATCTATGCATATTTTACTTAATTCTTTATTTCGGCCGCCCCTCCTTAACTAAGGCCCCAGGAAAAATTGCCCCCTTTGACAGCACCTATAGTTTCAACTATCTGTGACGGCATAGTTTCATGATCACATACTTGCAAGAAAGAAATATTTTCGTATTGGCAAATGAGAGGCAGCTTTTAATAGACAGCTTATAGGACTGACAAACCTCTAGAGTAGTTCCAACGGCATGCACCCGCAGAAAATTTTGTAATCTAGGCTCCCTAAAAGGAAATTTTATGCAATGTTCGGTTCTATACAATTCTGAAGATTACACGCTAATTACAAAAAGATAAGTATCATTCACTTTACCATCCAGGCTCATAAAAGGACCTTTGGTGCGAGACTTTGTTCATCTGATGAACCTGAAGTATAATATTAGTGTACGTTCGATAATTTGGCTGCTATCATTTCAATTTCATTCAAATTATTCTCATTCAAAATGTATTGATTAATACTGTCAAGGGGTGTCAAGACGAATTTTTAGCTCAGTTCTTCTGCTCATGCATTGCCTGATTTTCGTGTTAATCATATAGAGGGCAAACTTACTCGAATACGATTGGCTAATGAGGAGGGCATTTTTTCTTAATTCAGGGCAAAATTACTTGCACCTGATTGGCTGAGACGCACAAGCAGCGGGAAATTTCGTCTTTGAAAATAAGCAAAGCAAAACTGCAATGGCTTCTCGCTTTGGAGTTGCCGATAGCGACGTTATTCAAAGTCTTCAAAAGCTTCTAGTGAAAAACGAAATATGAGAAAAAGCACCAATTTATGGGCTTGGGTATTTATAAAGTGAGTGGCTGCAAAGTTGAAGAACTTGATGAGGTGTTGTCGGTTATGCAAGCATCTTTAGACCGTGTTTTCCGAGAGGAAAGATATTCCTAGCCTAGTCAATATTAAGGGATAATTAATTTGAAAAGGTTTGCCAATGCTTTGGTTATTACATTGAAGACTTCATTTGTTTTTCATGTCAATTTCATGTACACTTAACGGCTTCCTCATGTTGTTTACGCCGCGCGTAGTTCATTTTCCACATACACATACGTGTAAAAGTTACTCTATAATTTAATACATTAATTTGATTTGAGTGAAGAAAATTAAAATAATTTTTAATGTAGCTATTAATCTAAATAAAGCTTCTTGAATAAATATACTAAGTTAAACATTTGTTTTTTGTGTTTTTGCCCTGGTACGTGCTATCCAACTTAACTTTGCTCACCGCGTATATACTTGCGAATAAATTTTGCCCTTTATGATTAACAAGTAATCGCATAGTTCCTCGTAAAATTAAGATTTAATTTCACTTGTGTGTTTTCAAAGTTTCACAAATTGCACTTGTCGCTTCGCGACTCGGGCAATTGTGAAACTTTGAAAACACGCGTGAAATTAAACCTTAATTTTACTCGGCCCCATGCGATTACCTATACTAATTGTTAATTAACAACTTATCACAGCAAATTTTATCACTGCACATTTTACATTTTATCACTGCACGTTTAATTTTATCACTGCACAAATTGGTTATCACTGCACACTAAAATTAGGTATGGTAATTCGTCATTCACGATACGCTCAAGTGCATGAATATCACAATGAGGGTATAGCATACTAATATCATCAGCAAATAAACAAAATTCAAATTTATCAGAAGAGGATGATATATCGTTAATGTAAAGGAGATACAATAGTGGTCCTAGAGCAGACCCCTGAGGAACTCCATATAAGAACAACTATTTTTCAAATCAATTTCTTGGACTCCATATTCTTGCATATTTTGTCCACAATATCAATAATAGCTTGCTGTGTGGAATGATTTTTCCTAAATCCATACTGGGCAGGAGAAAGTATTTTATGTTTGTCTATAAAACAGATTAATCTAGAATACATTATACCCTTTCAAAAATGCGGTTAAAAACTGACAAAAGAGAAATAGGCCTGTAGTTGTCAGGGTCCCATTGATCACCTGACTTGAATATAGGCACTATCTTTGCCTTTTTCAGTTTTGATGGAAATATACCGGTCTCAATGGAGAGCCGATTAACAGGTGGGAAATTTGTCTGAGCATGCGCGAGCAAAATGAGCCACGCAATTGCGTGGAATACACGCAACGCGTGTTTATACAAAAAGGCGCAATTGGGTAAATATTGCCAAATGTTTGGTACAAAATAAATGACTGTTTTATGTTGAAAATGGACATAGTTTTATGTTGAGGCAACGAGCCATTCTTAAAAACAATACAGTTCAAAGTCAAGCTATTTTTACATATTTTCAAAATTTGTCAAATTTCGCAAGCTTGTATTTTGAACTTAGACCGCTGAAGTTACATTAAGAAACATAAGATGGAAAATTTGAGGCATATAAAATAAATTTCAACTTACATTTCATTCTCATATCACGATTTTATACGTATACGGTAATACGGTCGACGTATACGGTATTTGCTCCCATGTTCACGTCGCCATATTCACTTCTCCCAATCATTCGATTACAAAAAAATCATTCCAAAACAAGGAAATCGTGATCGATTTTTAAAAGAATAACCGTTAATTTGTAAAGCTTTTGAATGGAAAGCAAAAAATCGTCAGCTAACACAGCTTCTTGCTAACTTTTTGCTTTGTTTTGAATGTATTAAAATGCAATGGAGTTTTGTTTCTGCCCGCGATTTTTTGGTCAGCGGCAACAAATTTCACACCTATTGAGCCGATTATTAATGTTTGCTAAAATAGGACCGAGAATATGCCTCGAAAGTTTTAAAATAAAAAGTGGGCAAGAATATAGACCATACGATCTATTTTCAGGAATATGTCGAATTTCATTTATAATTTTATATGACGAAACCGCATTGAAGTAAAATGAGTTCAAAATGGGGTCACCTAAATAAGTGTCATAGGGACTCAGCGGAGAGTTTAAGAATTTATTGGTTAAATTATACCCAATTGTAGCAAAATGCTTGTTTAGTATATTACTAATTTCAGGTTGGTTGGTGGTTTTAATATTAGAGTTTGGTTTATTAATAGAATTTATGGCGTTGCATTTGCTTTTCTTCTTAGCGGATATTAATTAATTTATTCCTCTCCATGTTTGCTTTAAGTTATGTAAATTGGACTAAAAAAAGTATTGTAGTATAAGGACTTACTGTGTCTTGAGAGTTTCGAAATTTTATTTCGATAATATTTATATTTATCGCGCTCATCATTTAAATAATATTTGTTTCTTATTTTAATTGCTCTTCTGATACCATTTGTTATCCAAGATTTTGAAAGTTGTTTTTCTTTACGTTTTGACAATGGCTTTAATGGCGCGTGCTTGTTTCATTAGCATTTTATAGAACCTGTTAAACAAGGTATTGACATCGGTTGATGAATTATGCACTAAAACGGCTTCGACAATAGACTGGACCTCAAACAAAAATTCCTTCTGGTCAAATTTAGAATAATCTCTGCGCTTCTTTTGTCTTGCACAATTTTCGACTTCGCAATTATTTAAAAGACATACTTGGGAATAATGATCACTTATATCGGATACGATATTTCCCGTCACTAAATCGTATTCTGGCATATTTAAAATAATATTATCAATGAGAGGTGCGGATTCCCCATAAATTCTAGTGGGTTTGGAAACTGTTGGGAAGAGGGCCCTGAAGGGGTAAAATGGGAACTGGGATTGATCTATTTTTAGACTGGGAAAATGGGATTTGGGTTGCTGGGACTGGGATTTGGCCACTGGGAATGGGAAATGAAGTCCTCAAAAATGGAAATGGGATTGAGGTAATGCGAGT